TTACTGTATTACAAAATTAGGAGCTGACCAGATAGCTCAGTGGACGAAATCGCCTGCTTAGGCAGGCACAGGGACAGGGTTCCATCCCCAGTGCCGGCCCTGTCCTCAGGGCACACTGAGACCAGGACTGAGACTGGGCATGGTGGTGCACACCTGTAATCTCAGCACTTGAAAGGCTGAAAACAGGAGGATCACTACAAGACCAGTCTGTGTAGTGAGACCCTGTAGATGCTGTACTAAATACATTTTTAAAAATTAGTAAAAATAACTCAATAAAGCATTTAATCATTAGATTTGGGGACTTAGCAAAAAATAAAAAATAAAAACAACAAAAACTACAGAAATGCTAAACAAGCTGATAGGCAATTAGCAATGGTTGTTCTATTGCATCCTCCTATCTTCAAAGTAGTTCTCGGATTATCAGACGCAGAGTCCTCAATCAGCTACCAGCCTGTGTAGCAACTGTTTAGACTTACGGCAGAAGCCCACTGTTCCCATTTACGACAATTTACGACGTAGGCTCAGATTTATGGCCTTCTTTTTTTGTACAGTTCTGCACCTCTTGTGTAATGCACCTCAGTGTCTTCTTTTCTGCACAGTACACCTCATCCGTACAGTTTTGGGGTGTTTATTGATTTGCTGCAGGGTGCAATGCTGTGGTTTTATGTTCTGTTATCCATTATAGCACAGTGTGTCAAAGGTATGCATAAGAGCAAAGTCATGGGGTGGAGTTACCTTCCACAGTTCCTTTGTTTTGAAATTGCAGGGCCAGCCAAATAGTTCAGCAGATTAAAGGCCTTGCAAGCAGGCGGGCTGCCAGGGGTTTGATCCCAGGGGTCTGCCGTGCCAGCCCTGCCCCTGGGGTGTGCTGAGATGGCCCACCCTGTAGCCCCAAAATACAAAAAATAAATGAAAAATAAAACAATAAAATAAAATACTACATACAGTTCCTCATTTAGTGACCAGTTCATTTAATGACCTACGCACAGAAATGAAGCTCAGTGGTTAAATGAAAAGAATGCCTGTTTCACACGGGTCACTTCATTTAACCCTGATCCCACTCTGGGAGTGGCAAAAAAGTTCTTTTGTGTGCTCACTTCCACAGCATTCATGTTCCAACATATAGACCTGTGAAAGGTCTAGCAAGAACAAAATGTCAAGAACGTGAGGCTAGGCCATGAGATAGCTCAGCGGACTAAGTGCCTGCTTTGCCAAGTGCAGGAACCAGAATCTGATCCCGGGTCTTGCACACCACACTGGCTCTGCCCCCGGGGCGCACTGAGCCAGTGGCTGAGTCCAGGCAGGGTGGCCCACTCCTATAATCCCAGCACTGGGAAGGCTGAAAACAGGAGGATCACTAAGAATCTGAGCTGTGTAGTGAGACCCTGGACCAAATACATAAATGACAAAATAAATAAATAAATAAATAAATAAATAAATAAATAATAAACTGATGTACTGTAGTCAGAAAAAAAAAATACATAAATGAAAAGAAGAAAAAAGAAAGAAGGGGCCAGAGAGATGGCTCAGTAGAATAAGCGCTTGCTTGGCAAAGAAGTAGAAGAAAAAAAAAAAAAAAATCAGGGCCAACCTTGAAATCCAACTTCAGCATTGTACATCTTAAAAGCAAATTTTCCCCACATTTGTCTTCTCAAATCTCCCCTTTTGTTTTGGGGATGAAAAGTCCCCAAATGATTGCTGGTGAACCTCCAAGACGACTCTCACTAGGCTTGCTCTGGGCACATCTTGATTTGCTGCCTTTTGGGGAGGCAGTGTCTCCTGACGTACCCCCAGCTGGCCTCAAACTCCCAGGGACCCTCCTGCCTCAGCCTCTTGAGTACTGAGATGACAAATATGGGTCACCAAGCCTGGCCTAGTCCCTGGCTCTTTTTACCAACCCTATCAGTTGGCTGTTTAGGAGTGACAGTGTGACAAGCGACTATAGTGGCTTCTGCCTTTGAGTGACGCACACACATTCCCAAGGGAGCTCTGCCTTCCTCGGTCCTTCAAGATTGACACTTGAACTTTGCCCAATCACCTGCTTTACCTCACCGAGGGCAGTCTGCAGGGACACTTACTTCCTTCAGCTTTCTCATCTTGGAAGGTCTTCTGGGAGCTATATGAATATAGCTGTAAGGAAAGGAAAAGGAAGGAGAAAAACAAATTAAGTTTGGTGGGGTTTGGGGGGGGGGGGTTTGTTTTGTTTTGTTTTTGGTACCAAGGATTGAACTCAGGACCTTGTGCTTGCTAGGCAAGCGCTTGTTCTATTGAGCTCTCTCCTCAACCCTTAAAGTAGTGATTTTTCTTTTTTCTTCTTTTTTTAGAAAATGGATATCAAGGGCCAACTAGATAGCTCAGCGGACTAAAGCAGGTTCCATCTCCAGCGTGCTTTGTCAGCCTGTCCCCAGGGCATGCTGAGACAGGGATTGAGAGCCTGGTGGCATGCACTTGTAATCCCAGAGCTTGGGAGGTTGAGAACAGGAGGATCACTATGATTCCAATCTGTATAGTGAGACCCTGTAGTTCCTGAACTAAATACAATAAAATAAAAATAAAACAAAAAAGAACAAAAAAGGAAAAAACAACAGCGTGTTAAACATGCTTCTTTGCCAAAGTTATTAGCATTTGCCATTGAACTACCCTCGTTTTCACCCTTTTGGTTCAGAAGTGCTCATCCAACTCAGAGCACTGCTGGGGGAGCGGTCCTGGCACTTGGGAGACGTGGAAATTCCCTGGGGCCCCGGCCCTGGGCCCCAGCCTCCTGAGGAAATTCCCCACGTCAACGAGAGGAAAGGAGAGATTCTCGGGAAACCAGCGCACAAGGAAATAAAGGATTGGCGCGGGAACCCCAGCCAGCCGGGGAAAAGCACGGGAGAAGCAGCTGTGGGCGGGGCTCAGACGCAACGCCCAGCGGGCCCATCGCCCAGCCACGAAGGGGCTGAACTCGAGCGCGAGTCCTTTGGCAGAAAAGGGAGGCCCCCTGAGCCCCCATTTGAGTGAATTAACCCAGACACGCGGCTAAAGCAGTGCACAGTTTCTCTTCGGCGAGAAACCCATCAGTAAATACAAGAGCAAAATAAAAGAAAACAGGGAGAAAGATCTTTTGCAGATGGGACAGCAACCAAAAGCTCGAGGGAAGGGGTGGGCCGTGGGGGAGGGGTGGCACGCCCTCTGTCCTGTGAGATGGTGTTCTGTGCACACACCAACTCCGTGCCAGGAACGCGACTGCAGGGCCTACCCCTAGTTCGGTCCTGCTAATTGATCCCAGCACCCAAATCCTAGAGCTCCACGCCCACCCCTTTTAGGCTGGGCTGCAACCTCAGACCCTCCTGCCTCAGCCTCCCAGCCCAAAAGGGCACTTACTCGAGCTTCTTGAAGCGCTCGCGGCCTGCCGCCACGTACTTGGCTCCGGTCTGCAGCGCATCCAGCTCAAGCACCTGATGACCATGTGTGGGCGTGTAGAGGCGCCGCACCCCGAAGGGCACAGCCACCTGCTCCGTCAGCTGCTCCAGCAACGCCTCGAACGTGGCCACGCGGCGCCGTGAGATCACAAACTTTCGGCCCACATAGAACTGGTCCCCGTTGCGGTACACAAGAATGGTCTTGGCCGGCGTGGTGTCCACCAGCGTGCGGGGCCCGCGAGTGCCCATGCCGTGTGCTCCAGGGAGGCAAAGGCAGGACGGTGCTGCTGCGGAGCCCGAGCCGCGGGGCACCGGACTGGCTATGGGGGAAGGGGTGCGGCGCGGCGCTGACGCGGTGATTGTGACCCTGCCGCTGCCGCTGCCAGGGACAGGGGTGACCGGGGACAGGGCGACAGGAGGAGCAGAGATACTGGAGGAGTTAAGGCAGGCGAGGGGACAGAGGGACATGTTCCCAATGGCTTTGCAATACCACAAATATCAATATCTTGTTTTTAAAAAGCCAGACGCGGTGGTGCACGCCTGTCATCCCAGCACTCCGGAGGCTGAGGTAGGAGGAGCCCCACCAGTTCAAGGCCAAGCTGGGCTCTATCATGAGTTCACAACCAGCCTAGATTACATAGTGAGACCCTGTCTCAAAAACTAAAAACCACGACAAAATATGCTACTCCTGAAGGGTCCGCCTAACCATTCACAGCCGCAGCCAATTTTATTTTTCCACCCTAGGGTTAGAACCCAGAGCCGTGGCATAAAGCCGCATCCCCTGCACTTTGCTTTTTGTATTTCAAATCAGACTTTCCTTCCGCTGCTGAACTGCCCAGGATGGGCTCCAACTTGCAACTCTCCTGCCTCAGCCTCTTGGAGTGTTTGCAGTACACGCAGTCCTTCGCGGCAACAGTTCACCGCTACCCAGCACAACACACCGCTGTTTCAGCCAAGGGCACTTTTATTAGCGGTGGAGCCTCACAGCCCGGGAGCACAGGCTACAGGCTGGCCTTGAAGCCGGCCTTCACAGCGAAGCGCAGGGTGGGCCTCTCCCGGGGTCGCAGCAGGCAGATGGAGCTGGGGAAGCCGCGCAGGCGCAAGCGGCTCACACCCCCGTCGGGTGCGATGCTGAGCCTGGCATGCGTGATGACGTCTTGAAGCTCCAGAGTAAGGCTGTCAAACAGGTGACTCTGGTTGGGCGAAAGCTAGGAGAAAAGGGGAGGCCAGAGGGTGCGGCAGGGTTAGGGGCCCCAGAGTAGCATCCTGCCCCACATGGTGGCACCCCCCATTCTCCCAATACTTGGGAGGCAGAGGCATAAGGATTGCTGGGAGTTGGAGACCAGCCTGGGCTCCATAGAAATACTGAGTCTCAAAACAGACATTTTTAGAAAAAAGCAATCCAGTGACACATTGGCTTACAAATCTGCTAGCCGGAGAAGATGCTCAAGTAATGCTGATGTGAGTATTCAAGGTCTCGCTGAGTGGCCGAGGCTGGCCTCCAGCTCACAGCCATCCTCCTGCCTCAGCCTCCACACTGCTGAGAAGACAGGCGTGTGCCAGCAACCAGCACATGGTATTTTCTGGGTTTAGTAGGTAAGTGGACAAGACCAGCAGATGAGGCTGTGTGGCAAGTCTCCATGGTGACAAGGACCAGGTGGAGAGTCTTCACAGATCCCCACCCCACACCAGGTCAAAGATGCTTCCTGAACATTTCACAGGACCCCACCACCACTGCCAAGTACACACCCCCCTAGAGCTGTAAGTGTGCTCCATAAATGGTTTACTAGAACTCAAAAACATTTTCCCACTTACGCATTTTTAGCATATAACTTCAATGAAATCTGTCAGGTATAGCGATGCACACCTGCAGTAATCCCAGCACTCTGGGAGGCTGAGGCAGAAGGGTTACAAATTTAAACCCAATCTGGGCAATATAGCAAGACTCTGTCTCAAAATAAATATTTGCATAAGGGCTGCGGTGCAGTCCACGCTGCGCAGCACTGGGGGCGCCTCCTACCCCAGGCCCTACCCACCTTGGTGACTGGCAGCAGCGGCTTCCACTTTGCGGCTGGCAGGAGCCACTGGCGCTTGCCCGCCTCCTCCTCCTCCTGCGTGGTCAGGACGCAGCCGTCCACCTTGCAGTTGTCTGGAGCGTTCCCTGGGGAGCAAAGGCACACTGTGTGACCACGCCTGGCCCTGGCAGGACTGGCCCTCTGGCACATTTGGCTTCTTAATTAGGTCTAACACACAGAGAATCCCTGGCACAGGGACACAGGTTTGGAAGCCTAGCACTGGGGAGGTTGAGGCAATTTCAGCCAGGGCTACATAGTTCAAGGCCAATCTGAACTACACAGCAAGACACTGCCTCAAAAAAATAATTAATTAATTAATTAAAATTTAAAACATAAAATGTAGTCCTAGCTGGATGCAGTCATGCATGTCTAGAATCCCAGTACCCTGGGAGGCTGAAGCAGGAGGATTACAAGACCACCAGTTTGAGCCCAGCCTACATAATTCGTAATAACCTTAGCAAGATTGTTTCAAAATAAAAAAAAAAAAAAGGCTGACCAGACAGCTCAGTGGGTTAAAATGCCTGCTTAGGCAGACACAGGGACTGGGGTTCCCTCCCCAGCATGCATGTGTGCTCTGCCCTTGGGGCACACTGAGACTGGGTTGAGATTGGGTGTAGTGGTGCACACCTGTAATCCCAGCACTTGGGAGGCTGCAAGCAGGAGGATCACTACGAGTCCATTCTGTGTAGTGAGACCCTGCAGACCCTGTACTAAACACATTTTTAAAAATTTTTTAAAAAGGGGCTGGAGAGATGGCTCAGTGGTCTAAAGCACCTACTTGGAACAAGCTTAGCAAAGCACAGGGACTGCAGTTCGAACCCCCAGCGCCACATGCCAGCCAGCCCCGCCCCCTGGTGGGCTGAGCTGGCCACACACGCACACACACACACACACACACACACACACATGCACGCACACACAATAAATAAATGTAAAAAAAAAAAATTAAAAAGACTGGAGATGTAACTCAGTATGAAGGCTTTGGGTGCAGTTCCCAGTACCATGTAAACAAACAAGAAAATAAATGAAAACAATAAATAATCTTCCAAAAGCAAGCCAATTCGCCGAAGCTCTTAATACCATGACGATGAACCCTGTGGTTGTTTTATCTCGTTCCCTATTATAACACTAATAATTAAAGTCATAATGATTTGCAAGATATTTAAAAACCAATCTTTATACTGTGTGTGGTGGTGCCTGCCTGCAATCCCAGCACTGGCAGGCTGAGGCAGGAGGAGTGCTGCAAGTTAGAGGGCCAGCCCAGGCCAAATAGTGAGTTCAAGACCAGCCTGAACTGCATAGTGAGACTGTCTCAAAAAGACAAAGAAATAAATATAAATAAGTAAAAACTAGTCTTCCAAAATATGAATGTAAGCTGCCACATTTGTTATAAACAATCCCATGGTACTCAACCCAGTACTTACAAAATGTCACCTAAATTACAGTAGTGATCTCTTTTGAATTTTTTCATTTGCTTTTGTTTTTATGCAGTTCTGGCTGGCCTTAAACTCACAGTGATCCTTCTGCCTTAGACCCCTGAATCCTGATATCACAGCAGTGTGCACCACCATGCCTGGCAACTTTATTTAGTGTCCCATGTATAGATATCATAAAGTAAGTATGGATGATCTGAGCTGCTTAACTTTCTCTTTAATCAGTGGAAGGTTCATGGTTTTTAAAATGTATAGCTTGGGGCTGGGGAGATAGTTCAGCGGCACAGCCCCTTCCTGGCAAGCACAAGGTCCTGAGTTCTAGTCCCAGTACCAAAAAAAAGTGTAACTCATTGCCTGAAATTCAAACCAAGGAAAGAAATGGCTGCCCCAGCCCAAAACATGTGCTAGAAAGCTGCCCCTCCCTTGTGAGCCCCAACTTTGGGGACCTTCAGAGTTCCCAGTCGCTGTACATCTTGGAAAGCAGGGTAAGCTGGAAGTGGCTTGCTGCGGATCGCATAGCAGGGTGCTAGCCCTTCCCACCCCGCCCCACTCTAGGTGCTTCCGGGTCTTGTATTTACCTTTAAAATGCTTAGTGTCGATTTCGATCTGCATTATAACCCCAGGATGGGCCAACCGGAAGACAGCCCATTCATACCCTGGAACTAGGAGGAAACCATTCTCATCTGTCTGGGGTTAAAAATGGGGAAGGGCAAAAGGAAGGGGAGGGAAATCCATTTAGAGTCTGGAAACCAATCATGAAACCCAGCAGATGAAAAAGATTGACACTCTCGCTCTTCCTCTTACGCAGTCATTTACCTGACGTGCGCATCCCCTTGCGTGTACATCGCCGCCACGCTACCACTCCTCAAATGCCACCCTCTGCTCCCGAGCTCACTGGGTACTCGGAAAGCTTTTGTACATTGCAGGTATGATTTTCCACACCCATTGGCGAGGCCTACAGACCGGCAGGCGGGGAAGGATCTGTCTGACCCAGCTCACAAAATAGTTTTTCTGCCTCTTCAGAGTCAGTATCTCCCGGTCCATCCATCCCGATAGTGAGCCGCCTCCACACCGTCATCCCAAGCAAGGCGAGTACACTCCCAGGACGAAGTGCACTTGAGAAGGGTTTGCTTCGGTCTCCCTATTTCAATCTGGCCGCGAACCCCAGGACCAGCTAAAGTGACTCTAGCGCCCTCTACCAGTCACAAGTTTGCACAAAGCCTCATAGTAAAAAGTGTCAAACGCAGACAGACATGGCCATGCGTGCCTGTAACCTCAGCATTCTGGGAGGCAGACGCAAGAGGATCGCAAGTTCCAGCCCAACCTAGAAATCTTAGTGACTGCGAGAAACTCTGTCTCAAACTTTAAAAATTTCAGAAGGGCTGGGGATGTAGCTCAGGGTGAAGGCCCTGGGTTCAACCCCCAGTACCACCATCATCAAAAAAAAAAAAAAAAAAGGAAGCTCATATCTTTAACTCCAATCCTGCCAGAAAATTTGTTTATAGCTTTTGTATTATTAGACTATAGATTCCTTTGTTTCTTTATTTAAAAAACAGAGGAGTTTTCCAGAAATGAGTTGGGGTAGCTATTGATAACCAGGCACTATAATAGAGACAGTAAGAAATTTGGAAACTGTGAATGATGGTGATCAGCAATCAAAACAATGCCAATGACATTTCTTAAAAAAAAAAAAAGTAGAAGCTTCTTTGATGTAAAGTTAAAGAGCAAAAAGGATTAAAAATACTTTTGATTGTTGCTGATCTTGTTGCTTTTAGCTTTTGGGTGGGGTCACTATGTAGCTCTGGCTGGCCTTGAACTCATGCTGATCTCCCTGCTTCAGCCTCTTGAGAGCTGAGTTACAGGTGTGTGCCACCTCACGGGCTAAAGACACTTTTCAGAAAAGCTTGATGCTATGGCTGTCGCCGTTCTTACTTCTAGCACTGGGGGCCGGTCCAGCCGCCTCGCAGTCTCCCAGCCGTCTGCTGTGGACTTGGCCCTGCCGACCCCTGCAGGAAAAGCTTCCATTCATGCTGTCACCCAGGGCTTTGTGCATGCCAGGATGAAGGCCTGGTGTCATGACATTTCAGACCCCCTGTAGCTGAGCCTTGCTACACAAATCATTTTCATTAAAGCTCATGTTTCAAGCACCTGCTTAGGTAAGCACAGGGACCAAGGTTCGACCCCCGGCACCACATGCCATGCTGGCCCCACTCCCAGGTGCACTGAGCCAGCAACTGACACAGGGAGTGGTAAAGCACGCCTGCAATCCCAGTGCTGTGGAGGCTGAGACAGGAGAATCACTACAAGTCTGAGCTGCAGAGTGAGACCCTATACCAAATACATGTATTAAACAAATAAAAAATAAATGTTTTAAAAAGCTCATGTTTTAGTAAAAACCATAGAATTAGTAACTTTTCTTTTTCCTTTGGTAGCAAGGACTTAAGTCCAACACAGAAAGCCACCTTGCACCCCTCCATCCTCCTGTCCTCCACCCAGCGCCGCCTCGCAGTCCCTTCCTCCTGATCATCCTGGCCGCCCAGGGTACCTGACACTGGCACCCATGCTCCTATGTGAAAGCTTCTTCCCAGAACCCTTCTCACCTATTATGTTGTTGGGGTGTCCAAAGTGGGCATTGCTAAATCCTACACAGACTGCCCCAAAAGCGATGGCCACCAAGTCCACGGGTTCTTTGGGGTCTGTTGCGACCCAGTCTTTCTGCCCAGTGCCATAAACTCTGAGGCGTGCAATCCCACCATCTGGAAAGGAAAATTGTCTTTATTGTTGACAGGGAAGTGGCCACTGGTGTCCTGAGCCCCAGGGGCCATCCAGTCTGCTCCAGGACCATCTCCTGCAGACTCTGCCATCCCTACCTCAACAAGCACTGTAAACACAGCATTCCACCTGCCCCAGGGCCTTTGCACGTGACATCACCTTGTGCCAGAGCAGCTTTCCCTGATCTTCAAGACTACCTATCACACCTGGATCTCAGTGGAAATGTCATGGCCCCAGAAAGGCCTTTCTTGTCACCCACAGAGGTCCTCTCCTGCCACAGCCTGGCTTCCCAGGGGAGCTTTCTCATATCTCCCTGCTTACTTCATTATAGCTATCCTCAGAATCTGTCACCATTTTTTGTTCAGTTTTCTTCTTGTTTTAAGCACCCATGAATACCAGTTTCTCAGGCTCTGAGTACAGAATCCCGGGCATGGTGGCACATGCCTAAAATCCTAGCACTCAGGAGGTTGAGGCAGGAGGATCATCTGTGCTGCACAGTGACAGTAAACTACATAGACTCTGTCAGAGAGAGAGAGAAAAAGAGAGAGAGAGAGAGAGAGAGAGAGAGAGAGAGAGAGAGAGAGAGCCAACCAGCCAGCCTTCTGGCACGATAGTGTGGGGAGTTCTTTCTGCTGACATGTTCCCTGAGAACCTAGCTACAGTCAGGATAAAAAAACACTTCTGCTCTCTGACAATGGTCCTCAGAGCACACACCAAATGAAGCAGATTCAGCCAAGGAGGTCTGCTAAGACTCAACAATGCACCATATCAGTAACACAGATATTGACTCAAGCCACGTGATCATCTCAACTGACCTAGAAAAAAGCATTTGACAAAATCCAACACCTCTTCATGATGACAATACTCAACAAAACAGGATGAGAAGGCCAAGCATGATGGCACATGCCTGTAATTCCAGCACTTGGGAGGCTGAGGCAGGAGGATCATTGTGAGTTTGAGACCAACCCGGGCTACAAAGTGAGCTCAAGGCCAGCCTGAACTGCATAGTGAGACCCTGCCTCAAAAAGACCAAAAGATAAATAAAAATGAACAAAATATAGAAAGAGGACATTCATAACTTGATAAAAGGCATCTATGGAAAGCCATAGGTGAGTACATAGTGATTAAAATCTCAATGCTTTCCCACTAAGAGCAGACATCAGACCTGCATCTTAGTTCCTGCCACTTCTAGGCAACACTGCGCTAGAGATTCTAGCCAGGATCATCCATGGAGTAGAAAGAGAGAGAATCCTTATTGGAAAAGAAGGAAACTACTCCCATAGAACGTGATCATGCATACAGAAAATGTTTATAGCACTGAAGCACTGTTAGTACAAAAATATTCAGCAAGGCTGGAGGACGCAAGATCAAATTTAGAGGGCTGGTCAAATAGCTCAGCAGATTAAAGCTCCTGCAAGCAGGCTTAGGGGCCGGGGGTTCAATTCCTGAGCCTGCTGTGCCAGCCCCACCCCCAAGGCACACTGAGACAGCAATTGAGACTGGGTGTGAAGGCACAAGCCTGTAATCCCAGATCTTGGGAGGCTGTACACAGGCAGATCACTAGGAGTCTGATCTAGCAGTGAGAACCTGAACACCCTGTAGACCCTTCCCTAAAATACAAAAAAAAAAGTGCAGAGTCAGTCACATACCACCTCAGCTACTAGTGCACTCTACCTGGACTTGACATAAGAGCTGCTGGGAGACACCTAACCAGTGTGTGTCCAACTGACTTGAGAGTTTTTCATTAACTCTTATTGATGAGCAGATTCAGATAGTTCCCTACAGCACAGAAGGTAAACCTCAGCGTGAAAAAGCTAGAGAGACCAATCAAGTCAAGGGGATGTAGTGGACCTCAGGTCAGGGCTCCGCGGACAGTCCTCACCCACGCACCCGGGAACATGTTGAGTCTCACGTGAGTCCACCTCTGCTGGGAATGGACGAGAAAGTAGTTGTGGCTGGAAGTGGGGCTTCCTGGCTTAAGCTCTGTCATGGGCACCAAATAACTCCACTCGCCGGATTGCAGCTAAAGGAAACACCGAGTGTTAGAGATGAGAAAGCTCCTCCCAGTGCCACTGTGGGGACTCAGGGCTCAAGATGCTGTAGAATAAAAATGGATGCTGGGGTGCAGTGTGTGGTGGCAAACACTTGTAACCCCACCAGGAGGCTGAGGCAGGAAGATCACCATGAGTCCAAGCCAGCCGGGCTACATAAAGAGATCCTGTCTCAAAATACACACACACAAAAGCTGGGTATCTATGGCACATGTTAATAAAAATAAGTTTGACAAACAGAACCAAAGCTGCTCAGGATGAGTTTTTCTCCTGCACTGAACCAAATAGCTGCCAGATGAGGGTGGCGTGGATAATGTGGACATCCCTCTAGCGGCCTCAGGGTCATTTGCTGTACGAATCAGACTTATGATGCAAGCACTTAAAAAGAAAAAGCAGGGTGGCTCCTTGTGTCCAGGGAGACCACTGGGCTGAACCTTAAACAGCCTTGCCTACATCAGACCTATTTGTTGTTGCCGGTACTTCCCAGTCTGTTACTGGTGAACATCTTTATAAAAATCAAAAGTAATTAGTAGACAAATTTGGACAATAATGCACCAAAATGCAAACAAAATGGATGCACCCTGAGATCAGCAGTTAAGTGAGCTAAATCAGGGCTTCTTCTTCTTCTTCTTCTTTTTTTTTTTTTTTTTTCAGAACCGGGGATTGAACTCGGGCCCTTGCACTTGCCAGGCAAGCACTTATTCTGTTGAGCCATCTCCCCGGCCCCTATGTGAGCTAAATCAGATGCACAAGCTTCAATATTGCAGGTTTCTCTTACATGAGACACCCTGCATATACATAATTAAAGAGCTAAATAAAGACAGAGAATAGGGAACAGGGAGACAGAACTTTTGCCAGTGAAAAAAGGACCAATAGTCGGAGCAGGAGGGTGCACGCGTGCAAAGAGCTGTGTTCTGCGCATGCGCCAACGCCCTGTGGCACATGCTGCCCTGGTGTACTGCGAAGACGGGCTGAGCAAAACTAAATCAACATTTTAAAATAGCAAAGGCTGCCTTTCAGAGTCTGCCTGTACCTCACAGGCCAGCAGCAGAAAGCAGTGTGTTGAAGGAGTGCTCTGCCCGCACACCTGCAGAGCTTGCAGTTGCAATGTCCAAGTGGGAAAGTAGAGGAGGTGCAGGGTGAGCCCGGCGCAGGGGTGCACGCCTGTAATCCCAGCACTCTGGGAAGCTAAGGCGGGAGGGTCACTAATCAAGTCCAGGACAGACAATTTTGCAAGAGCCTGTCTCAAAAGCCAGGCTGGGGATTATAGTTCAGTGCTAAGGTCCTGAGTCCAACCCTCAGTACTGGGAAGGAAAAAATCAGTGGACAAGGAGCCAGGGTCCCAAGTCCCAGCAGATGGCCCCATGTAGGCAGGCCTGCAGCACCAGCTCCTTCCTGTCCCCAGGATGTGACGCCCTCCTTTCAGGTGGCAGGCATACCTCAGCAATGGCGCTGAACTCCTCAGGGCTGGCTGCAGTTCCTGTCCTCACCCCGCGAGGCAGTATCTCTGGCAGTTTATCTGCAGTCAGAGGGACCTTTCAGGTTGGGCTGAGGCGCAAACATTGAAGAGACAGTGCAAGTGCAGCGGGCCACCTCCATGCCTGCCCAGCTCCAGCCCCACATCCTAGAGGCCTGAGGGCCTCCCACGTGGGAAGCCCAGGAGTGAAGGAAGAAGGGAACCTGACTTGAGCCAACGCTCATTGCTGAGCTGAAAGTCAAGAATCGTAGAGCCCATGGGAGGGATCCTGGCTCCACAGCTCTGTCACAGTGCAGGCTAGCACCCTGCTCCCTATCCAGATCCCCTGGGAGCACACACCCGGGCACCATCATCTGGAGCCTCCTTCGGGCACAGCACCCCCAACCCACCTTCTTTCAAGTTGGCAGCTTGGATGGACACCCGGGGAGGGTGGTTTCCATTGAAGTGAGAGATGTCCACGTCGAAGCCTCGAATGATGCCCTCGATACCCAGCCTGATGACACACCAGTCATGTCCTGTGCACAGGAGGGACAGGGGTATCAGATGCCAGTGCTGGCCAGGCTGGAGGATGCATGGCTGTGAGACTGCAGGATCCAGGCTGGTGGCAGCTGTGGCAGCCCTGGAGAACCAAGCCACCTCTCTGGGTCATTCTTCCACTCTGGGAGTGGGGACTAGCTTGCCGAAACACCATGGCCACTGTGTGTGATGTAAAAGCCCTAGCCCAGCTGGCTCCCATCCACTGGGGTCACAGCAATGTCACGGGGTCCTCTCAAACCACAGAATTTTCTGCAGGTCCCCACTTTACCCACCAGGATGTCCCCCACATATGTGCAAGGTCTTTGTGTCCCTGGGTCCTCCTGATCAGCTGCCAAGCATAAGCCCACCTGGTACCAACTCCCCACAAGGACATTTACTAAGCCGAGGGTGGTGGCACACACCTGTGATCCCAGCACTCGGGAGGCCAAGACAGGAAGACTGCTGTGAGTCTGAGGCCAACCTGGGCTACACTGTGAGACTCTGTCTCCAAGAAAATAAAGTAAGATACAAAATATAAAATGATGGGCCAGGGAGCGAGCTCAGTGGAAGGAGAGCTTGCCTGGCAAGTGCAAGGTCCTGAGTTCGATCCCTGGTACCACAAAAAAAGAAAGAAAGAAAGAAAGAAAGAAAGAA